GGCTACTAGCCGGAGGGTCGTCAATGAAGAGGGGCGAGTTGTGCCACTCAGAAAGGCACCTTAAACACTCCAGGAAGATTACCGAAATAAAGGCACTCCACCTTAAATTCTCAAAAAAAAAAAAAAAAGTACACAGAGGCACACCACTTTTAATACTTCACGAAGAGAACAGAAATTGTTACTCCACCTTTAATACTTTAGAAAGACTACATAGAATCTTAACAATTCTAGAAATTACTCCACCTAAAACACTCCAAAAAGACTGAATAATAAATAAATAAGGACCTCTTTAGTAAGACAGAAGCCCTTTGTTTTGCTTTCCAGGCGACACCCAACAGGAAGTGCACCACATTCTTTTTGCTCTTCCTCATTCCTTGCATTAACCTGTACACACATAAGCCCCCGCCCCCGCCCCCCACCCCCCACCACCAAGACACCGCAATTCAGGTGCATTCTGAACCCCACTTGAATTTCCCCATGGACCTCCAACATGAAATGGGTAACAAATCTAACATTCTTCTGCTCGAGGTGTGAGTGACATGAATCTCTTGGAATATCTAAGACATCTGGTAATCGACTGAAACGCTTTAAACGATGGTGACATGGGGTGGTAGAATCCTGAAGGTTTTGGCACGACAGAAAAAAGAACTGCTAGACACCAGGAAACGTAAAATCCATCCATTTTCCGCTCATCCCTGTCAGGGTCACTGGGAGGAAACAACACAGTCATTTTATAAAAACTTAACACGTGGTTCTAGGCAGCGATTCCCACTAAGACACCAACGACTAAATTTCCAAGGAGCTTTAACCAAGACATGTGAAATCACAGGCAACTCCCTGATCTTCCCAACCCTCCTGCGGCTGAGCTAGCGAGCCACTCGGATGCCATGCGACTGCCGACCACAAACCGTTCCCTGAAAGCAACAGGGGAAAATTACACAGCAATCTGAAGCCAAATTAAAAGCTTTGCGCAGATGTTTGCTGCTGGTGTTGGGTGGCTTTACCTTGGTTGTTTTTCATTGATTATCATGAGAAGCTTACAGGGGATTAAAAAAAAGCCTTAAGCCAGTTAAATGTGTGCTTTGTCACTGACACTACATGAGGGTTTAATTTGGTAATGTTAAGTTTTGGACTGGAATTAAAGGAATGTGATTTTCGTTAGGTTCACTCTCGGTGGCTGCATGCTGGGTAATTCGAAGATGCTGACCGTCTACACACAGAAAAGCTCACAGGGTGCCAGGATTGGTCATCCTGCCCACTTCAGACTGTGTATCCCATAATAACTGCTGCCTTAAAGGATCATGAACAAGTACAACATTTTCTGCCGACCACAAGAAAGCAGAATAATTACAAGAGTGGAGCAGGCAAGAGGTCACAGCAGAGTGGGATGCACTCGGAATCCTGGGTAACGTTGTTCATGGTGACGGGGGGGACAGGCCAGAAGTGGGGGCCATGGGACCGCGGCAATCCTGCGCTGCAGCAACTGGGTCGAATACGACCGCGCTGACGACCTAAAAAAAGCCTTCGGAGACCTGAACGCTTCCACAAAAAACCAAAACAAACGTCAGAGACCTTTCTCAACTATAGGGCGGTTTACTAAAGAATCCAGTCTTGGGGAAAAGGAAAGAAAACCCTTCAGAAGATCAGAGGCAAGGTATGTGTGATCCATTTATATTTCAGGAAATCACACGGAAAATTCATTAATCCTTTAAAAGCGTGCCGAATTTTAACAAGCCTGAAATGACGCAGCACATGGGACCACGACTTTAAGGCAACAGAGCCACAAGCTGAGACACTGTTCAACAGATCCTTCTGCAGGAGGACCGAGCACCTGGAGCCTTCAGGAGAAAGAAATGTAGGTCACTGTGACCTTTCTCCAACAGAGCCAGCACCTTCCTAAACATTGCAGCCACCCCAACTCCTCATGCTATCCTCTCGATGCAGGCCCAACATGAACACACCCCGGTCTGCAGAGGGGCTGAGCCCAACAGCCCCTGACTGAGGATATCCCACCTACACACATCAGACAGGTAAAAGCGGTTCAATAGTCACAGCTAACAGCTGCCAGCGCCTTCAATGGAACTAACAAGGACTGTTATGATGCATGCATGGAGCTTCAAAACTGAGGATCACAACAAGAAAGTTTGAACAAATAATCCTCTGAGGTCTTGAATATGGCCGACTACTTTTCCAATCAATCGCACCATTTGATCCGCTGCCCTTAACGACCGTTGCTAAGCTACCACTCTCCCAAGACACTTCTTAGGTAGCACTTAATATTTCTCTATATTATGCGCTAACCCCATCCCCCAAGCAACAAACCAATCTCAGAGTGACCACGAAAGCGGCAGGTAGGCCACTCAACGGTGTTGCATCCACAACGACGGAAAGAGAGCACGACAAACGCAGAACAGAGTGCCCTATACGTCAAATACAGGAAGCAAAATGGGACCACCAAGCCCAGGCAAGAATAAGCGAACTGAGAAAAAAGAGGGGGAACAAAAAGTAACAACATGACCACAAGCAACCTTTGAGAATCGGGGATCAGTCAGAGAAACAAGCAACCGGATGCCCTCCTCACAGGACTCGAGTTCTGTTGCGTGCAGCGGCCATAAGAACAAGGTGTTTGACCAATCCCGACTTAGGGATCGAGGCTGCAGCTCAGAACACCTACTAAAAAGATGCCACTAGGACAGGCCAAGTGGCTGCCACCTCTCCGAAGATTAGCATGACACAGAAAGTACAGAGTGACAAGTACATTGACGAAGGAACCCTACAGGGAACACAGGATCAAGAGCTTGGTCCTCAAAGCCAAGACAGACCGTCTGACTGTAACAGACCGCCAGAGAATCTGATATATTTCCAATCTCAATAGCAGCGGCTAAAATAATGTATTTTAACCGCTTTATATATGACGGAAAAACTGATTTACCAGTCTGCTTGCTCTGAAAAGTTTCAATTTATATATAAAAGGAACCACACTGTACAAAATACTCTGCAGCATGGAGTAATATTTCAATAATTTCAGAACAACACAGGGTTTATGACCTACACACCAACAGTCCGGAAGACCAAAGATGATCAGATAGAAACAGACACAATGCTGTCTATTGGGGGACTGTTCCCAGAATTCATCCTAAAGGATATGCAGCGTGTGTAAATACCCTAGAGATTTGCTTAGGACTGATAATATTGGTGCAATGGCATCAAGAACAGGGGATATTCCACAGAAAACATCATACAGGCACAGAGATAGAAACAAAGCCATTCAAGATTAATTTGTATATTGCAAAAGTAATTATTCATTTTGGGGTAGCCAATAGACAGGCTTTCGGCCTATTTGGAGAACAAGGGCCATTGAGCAGGCATGATGTAATGGCCACAGTGGCCCTCATTAATGCCACCCTCCCTGGCATGGTCTGGGTGTGCCCAGCGCCCCTCCTGAACGTCCAGCTGCTTCCCATGGACACCCATCATAATAAAGCCACGATAAGTGAAATCATCCCTGACGGACACACCGTTAAAAACCGGCTACTTTCATGTATCCCTAATAAGGTAACAAAGGGCGGGGGGCTGTTCGTCCGCATTATAACCAGCGGTGTGCAATATTACTCAACTGGAAGGAATATCTAGATAACAAGCTCTAGGTTAGTTACCAGATTAACTAGTTGGGAGATCACTTTGAAATAATGCCAGCCGGGCATTCGCATGTTTTAAGCTCCATTATCTGCAATCCGCCCCCTACATGCTGCATCGACGCCCAGACCGCCGTACCTTGCCTCGGAGGGCGAGAGGCCGGCATACAGGGGCTGGGAGAAGACTATCCCGGTCCGGCCGAGTCCCGAAAGCTAACGGCGAGCACCGGGCCGCTCCGTCCACACAGGAGGCCGGGATTCAGGCGAGACAGCCTGGCGTGTTAACGTGTGCAAAGCAGCCAGCAGGGCTGCCAATTTATCCCCCACCATTATGTCCTTATTTCAAAAATATAGACACATCTACTGCATTTTAATGTAAATCACATACGATCATTCCTAGGGACGTCGGCTCCCTACAATCCTAGTAATGCGGTCATTGTGTTATTAATAATAATAATAATAATAATAAATTATTATGATTAAGGCCTCCTCCTCTTTGTGGCTATTGAGCAGCTTGTCGGCTGATCCTGCCTTTGTACAAATCCGTGTGGCGGTCGAGTACGCGCGGCCAAGTCCGCCTCCACCTCGGCCAGCGCGGCTAGGCTAAGCTAAGACGTGCTACGATAGGCTAGGTTAGGACATGCTACGCTAGGCTAAACCGAGCCTTCGTTACACCTCAAGCGCCAGCAGGCAGACACACCTAACCGATATGTCACGCCTCTGTTCTGGCCAGTTACGCTGTTTTAGCGGCTATCCAGTTACTCTCACTACCCACGGGCACTGTCAAATTACAAGGTTGGGCGGAGGATGTTTGTATCATGTGCCAGTCGGCATAGCTGCTCGGCCGCGCTGTCCGCGCCCGGAGCCACCTGGTCACCCCGGGGTACCTGTCCGCTGGCGTGCCGCGCTGCGGAGATCGGTATCTTTCACCCCCAAGAGCAATTTATGCCTTTACATTAGAAAATTTTAAAAATCAAAAATCACCGTCAGCTTTGTGGTATGAGATAATACACATTTTAAATTATGTCCTTATTTGATGTGTCACGAATGTAGAGAATACACTACCGAGGTTGAGAGCTGAGCCTCTCTCGGGTTACATTTTTATATACATTTTTGCCATTGTTACTATTATTATTACTATTATTTTTTATTTCCAATGAGCACCATCCCACAGTCGGATTAATAACTTCCTGGTTATTACCGTGGTTAATAATCACGGCCAGGCGGACCGGGAGTGGAGCGCGGCAGCCCGTCTTCCCTGGTCGGAGGATTAGCACCACATGCTAACACGCTGCTAACTCCACGCCCCGGATCAGCGGCGTCCCCCCCCTGCCGCCCGCAGCCGCCCCCCGCCGCCGGCCTTACCGGGTTTGAAGAACGCCGCGACGTCGGCCCCGTCCTTCCCCGATTCTTCCGCTCCCTCCCCGGAGCTCATGGCTGGCACCCGGACCAAGAACCGAAATCCCGATGAGCCGCTCCCCCCTTTCCCCCACTCCTTCCCTCGTTCGTCCAAAGCGTCAAGAAGCGGGAGGGGGGGAAAAAAAACCCGAAGCGCTCCGCCGTGGGGCTGCGCCGCGCTCTACCGGGACACCCGCACGGACGCGCAGCGACGGCCGACCTCCATCTTGGATAATAGGAATGGCACAGCGGCCGCCGGCCGGCGCTTCTCCCGACTGGAGCCGAAGGGGGACGTCGGAGCAAAGAGGGGGAGGGTTTGGAGGAGGGAGGGGTAGAGAGAGGGAGGGCGGGGTACAGAGAGGGGGGGGGGGGTCTCTGGGAACCTCCGCTGGGTGCATGAGGCTCTGAATTCGTAATGAGCCTATGTAAGTGACTGGGGGTGCTCTCGGAGTTCATGGCATCGAGGTTATGCCCATGCTGAACATCCCAAACAAGGACACTTCATTGTTTAGTCGATGGATTTTTATACAGAAACCCCCCACAACGGCCCATGTGCTGACACCGAAATCAAACCAGAACTAACATTTATTTGTATAAGCTATTTCTTATTAAAAAATACACCATAATTAGATTTTTAATAAGCTCCGGACCTAGTGGGTATGAAACATGGATGGAATACTGTTTCTCCGTTTAGTAAACAATTGAAACATATTTCAACGTAAGTTCTAATAACGTCGTTTTGAAATATTTTGTCTAAACAAGAAAATGAGCTCTGTATGTCATCCGTAACGGAAGGTATTATGATTACATTTGTTAGGCTTAGTATTTGCAGACAAAATAGATTTTATTTCAGATCTCAGAAGATTGTTATTTTAACAAAAAGAATAAACAAACAAAGGAACACATAAAGGCAAAATCATTAACGTGATAGTGTTTAATATATAGTAGGTTAACTGTGTGTCATCCTCTTAGTGTTATATTATACAGCAGCAGATCGTGGACTGGGATTTTAAAACCACCATGGACTTTGAGGTCTCTCATGGTAAAATTTGCCGTAGGAGGTGGGTCCAAATGGACAGTTTGCCGGATGGGCGGTCCAGCCCTGTATACAGTACAGTACTGTATAAGATGGCTGTTAATGCATTCTAGGACCAGCAACCAAGCTGGACCTAGTCTTGTGCATGACGTTACATTATGTGTAAATCGTGGTATTAGGACTTTTATTTTAAGCGGACCTGCTAAAATCTTCATGATCTTGTTACCACATCAGTCAAAGTTTGCACGTTTCCGTCGCGGCTGTGAGAGCTGGCTGTGCACACATCAGGCTTGTTAGAAATCCGTCATTGTGTACTTAACTGATGAGCTTCCACAGTGCATCTCCACGGGCCCTATTAAACTGCAGAAGGAGCTTCCTCTCTGTGAGATTAAACACACTGCACCAGTTACTTCATCTTTCTGACTGGCCTCATTATTAATGTGGGGGTCCATCATCATTTACCTACAAAATATAAATAGCCAAAAAGCTGAATACCGTAATAAACACAAATACCTATTTCACATTATCTTTTATATTAAATTTTACCAGCAGTTTTTATTTTCCATTCACATATGTTTTGCCATTTATGATACACTGCCAATTTTAAAACACTATCCTGATAAGGATCTGCAATGTATGTGACTGTGTTGTTGTGAATTATATGTTGTTATATGCTTTACAAGGCGTTAGAATCCACAAGATTTTATTTTATTTTTTTAAAAAGATAATTCCATGAGGTAGTCAAGGGTCTATCACCTCCCAGTCATGCTCAGAAATCTCTGCCCCCCAAATGTTTAGTCTGGTACTTATTAGGCTGTGTAATGTATCTGCAGGAGACTAATTTATGCTCTGGACAACCAGTGATTATAGCTAACCAAGTAAATACAGTGCACTGCTGGGAAAAAGCCAGTAGCTGACTGAATCGCACTGGAGGCTGGACCATGTCAATGACCACGTCTGGTGATGTAAACATGCTACAGTGCTCAAAAAGTCAAAATTAGTTTGGATAAATGCAATGTCAGGAGCAGCATGGTGGTGCAGTGATTAGCACTGTTGTCTCACACCACTGGGACCAGGGTTCGAGTCTCTGCTGTGGCTCCGTGAGTGGAGTTTGTATGTTCTCCCTGTGTCATCACTGGGTTCTTCTGTACAGTATTTTAATAATACCATCAAGCCTTTCCCAAATAGCAGCGGGCTGATCTAGCCCAATTACGGGATGCCAGTCCTTTATGGGCACACACATAGGCACAATGGGCAAGTTAGAGATGCCGTTCAGCCTGATGCCCGTCTTTGGGAAATAGGGTGCCTGGATGAAGCCCATGTAACCAGAGGTGGAAAGTTCAGGTTCAGAAAGTACAAATCCTGACCAAGATTTTGTTTCAACTAACCAGTTGAGCATAAAGAGTCACGTTCACATAGTAGTGAAATGGTTGGTTGAAACAAAATCTTGGTCTGGATTTTTACTTTCTGAACCTGAACTTTCCACCTCTGGTTATATGGGCTTCATCCAGACACCCTATTTTCCCAAAGACATTTTCCTCTACATGTAACATATGGAGAACATTCCACACAGAAAAGAAAGGGGATTCATCCAGCCCTGGGTGCTTGAGGAAACAGTTGGAAAATTCTGGAACGTTCCAGAAATTCTCATTTGCATTCTAGTAATAGAGAAGACCACAGTATATGGACAGCACAGAGTAGCACAGAGTGACCACATTTGATTAAAATAATTCCCTCAGTGCTTGGTAGTCTTCTGCCTGAGGTGCTTGTATCTTTGGATGCATTGTCAAAAGGGATTTCTGCTTTGTGAAATGCAAAATCACCACGGCACCCCGCACGTCACAATTTTCAGCAGAGCTTTTCTGACAAAATGCAATGTTACACAAGAACACCACATGGCTTATTCGCTCAGCTGAGAGACAGTCGCTTGATATCATAATCCTGGAGCATGTGCTTCTGTCCACTGCGGCTCGGTGCCGATGATGACTTTCAGATGAAGACAGGAAGTTCCCATCTGTAAGTTCTCATGGTTTGGTTACTAAAGAATTTACCAAAAATGTTCCAATATAATCTCCCCTCGTAAGTCCGCATGGCCTTCCTGACGGGCCCGGAACATTCTTCCCTTCATTTTAGACAATCTGGACACTTATTTATTTAATTAACCTTCAATTTAATTAGTATGTAGGGGGGCTGTATTTGAATATATGTGGTCTTTTTGCAGCCTAACTGCAGTGTTTGCATCTTTTGCAGACTTTCTGAAAGCTTTAAAATTATATCGTAATGGTTTGACTTTTTGTTCAACATATTTCATATTCTTCAAATCCGTGTTTACCCTGTTTAATTCATATGATGTGTGTAATGTTTAACCAATATCTGTTTCTGTATGTTCTACATACAAATTTTGAATTCTAATTTACTAAATAAGTAGACACTTGTTACTTTATTACAAAACTTTCGTGATATTTATATGTGTATTTTCCAGTCTTGAAGCTGGTTAGTAGTGAAATGCTGCCACCTGCTGGACTCTTAAAATAGACCAATTGATTTTCTAAGTCTACTACGAAGTAACTATTAGCCTGGCGAAATCCATTAATCAGGCTAATTTCTGGTTACTTACTAAACGTCCATTTGACACTTATGTTTTATGATTCTTGTTGTTTCAACTAGTTAATATATTTTTATTCAGCATCTTATACCATCCATATTTCTGAATGATTAACAGATTTATTCTGGTTGGGGGAATCGTGCTATTTCAGGCAGGGTTACGCTCGATGTCACGTTAAAGCAATAATATATAATGGCAAATTTAGAGACGCCGTTTAGAATAACTGCAAATATGCGGCAAATATGTGTTTGTAGGACGCAGGAGAGAGTTTGATGGAGTGGGGAGGCACAACTTAATAGTTTAAATACAAAGGTCTGTTTATTGCGGGGATGAGTGAATCCTAATTAAATATCTGGCAATACATTTGGGAATATTTCGCTCGTCTCTCCCAGTTCCTACATGCATGCCTATCGAACCTCTGTGCCAGCCACATCTGGTGCTTCTTTCATTAAACCGCAATAAAATTAAAAACGACATTTTTACACCAGAAGGTGTCGATGTCCACTCACACGTATCCTTGAGCTCCTGGGAGCAACACAAACAGCTGAATGTGGCGGTCAGCAGCCTGGTGTTGTGGCACTTTGATTAACGCAGAAACGACGCGTAAGGGCTAGCTGCACAAAACTCCAGGGATAATTTGATGGTGCTGGCTGCTCATGGACGTTTCTCAGTGGCCCAAACAGCCAAATGTTACTCTCATGATTCATTATTAGAGAACTATGTTTTACATGGATTAAGGTCTTATTAATAATCATAATTTGCAGCATATAATTATGCACATATAGACACTTCAACATAGAAACAAGTCTTATTGCTTCATACACTTCAGTCTGTTAAATCTTTGCCATTTTGTTTGATCGTAGACTTTGACTATGTTAACTGACTTTTGTCCTGATGTCTGTGTGTCTGTCTGTTTAAACCAGGGGTGTCAAACTCCAGTCCTGAGGGGCCAGAGCCCTGCACAGTTTTTGGTTTACCTTCATTTAACACACCTGATTCAACTCCTTGTGCTAATTTCCACAGAGCTCATAAGCTAAATCATTTGTGATGGAACAGGGAAAGGACTAAGCTACACAAGGCTCTGGCCCCCCAGGACTGGAGTTTGACAACCCTGGTCTAAACTAAAGCACACACACTCCCTCTTGTGGTCAGGTACCCACATAACCATTCTAAGCTACACAGGGCTGCGACCCTCCAGCACTGGAGTTTGAGACCCCTGATTTAGAGCTTTTATTGATCTGCCGAGAGTAGATCTTCTCCTTACATACCTTGTAGCGGGCAGTTAAATATGTTATCGATCTGAATGTCAATTCCTGACTTTGCCACTCTGTTTTTAATTGTCACGCGCCATCAGGATGAATATCGCCCTCCACATGTGCGTGTTCATTTTCCCGACTTGGAAACTTTTGCTCGTTAACATTCAGGCTTACTAATTACTCTGCATAATCCTATGAAACCATAATGGATAAGCGCTAAACCTTGGGTTAGAAGCACTGGCAAGCTGACAGAGGACATGGGAGGGGGCGGGGCCTTTACAGCTGCTGATGTGATTGGTCACAGCATGTCACTGGTACTAAATTCCAGGTCGTTCCTGCTCCAAACCGTCAGGCAGGAAAATGACGTGACTGGTAAAGTAGCTCTGAC